TGTTTTATGAAGTGTGTGTGTGTGTGTTTTGTTGTTGTGTTTTATGAATTGTGTGTGTGTGTTTGTGTTGTTGTTGTGTTTTTATGAAGTGTGTGTGTGTTTGTTGTTGTGTTTGTTGTTGTTGTTGTGTTTTATGAAGTGTGTGTGTGTTTTTGTTGTATTGTTGTTGTGTTTTATGAAGTGTGTGTGTGTTTTGTTTTGTTGTTGTTGTGTTTTATGAAGTGTGTGTGTGTTTTGTAGTTGTGTTTTATGAAGTGTGTGTGTGTTTTGTTGTTGTTGTGTTTTATGAAGTGTGTGTGTGTTTTATGAAGTGTGTGTGTGTTTTGTTGTTGTTGTTTTTATGAAGTTGGTGTGTGTGTTGTTGTTGTTGTTGTGTTTTATGAAGTGTGTGTGTGTTTGTTGTTGTTGTTGTAGTTGTTGTGTTTTATGAAGTGTGTGTGTGTTGTTGTTGTTGTGTGTTGTTTTATGAAGTGTGTGTGTGTTGTGTTGTTTGTGTTGTTGTGTTTTATGAAGTTGTGTGTGTTGTTGTTTGTTGTTGTGTGTTTTATGAAGTTGTGGTGTGTTTTGTTGTAGTGTTTGTTGTGTTTTATGAAGTGTGTGTGTGTTTTGTTGTAGTGTTGTTGTGTTTTATGAAGTGTGTGTGTGTTTTGTTGTAGTGTTGTTGTGTTTTATGAAGTGTGTGTGTGTTTTGTTGTGTTGTTGTTGTGTTTTATGAAGTGTGTGTGTGTTTTGTTGTAGTGTTGTCGTGTTTTATGAAGTGTGTGTGTGTGTTTTGTCTTGGATGATCTTTTTTCTGCACCGTCTCTTTAATAAATAAACAAACACAAATGTTCAGGTTTTGTGTTCAGAATTTCACGTTGAATGAAAATAAAGAAAGTCTCTTTGTTAAATGTTTGTACGTTTGGTGTCCAGGACTCACCCACGAGGCACCTGAGCTCCGCCTGCTTCTCCTCCAGCTCCTGCAGCTCATTTCTCAGTTTGTTTCGATCTCCGTGTAAAGTTCGGACGTCTTCCTCCAGCAGCTTCACCTGGAGGCTCAGGTTGTGGTTGGACGTTTCCAAGTTGAGGTTCTTCTCCTGCAGAACGTCCCTCTCGCCCGTCAGGTTGGTGATAAAATATCTTACTTGTCTAAAATTCACCAAGTTAAAGTGAACAGTTTTTGTTTGACGCTTCACGTGTTTCTTCAATGTCGATGTCGGGTCCAGCGTCAGTCCCTGGGATTTAATTTAAATCACAATCATTTCTCTTCAAACTCGTCTGATTAAAGTGTGAAGCTTCTTTTTGGAGTTTGATGATTTCTCCTGTCGGTTTCTGCTCGTGTTCTGATTCTTCCTGCAGCAGGTGTTGGGAGTGTTACTTTTAAAATGTAATCCCCTACAGATTACAGATTACTCACACCAAAATGTAGTTTGTAACAGAATCCATTAAATTATTTACAGTGAGTAATGTAATCTGATTACTTTGGATTATTTGATATTGTGATGTTCTTTAAATCTACATGAATAAACCAATCATCCTGAACATTTATGTTTGTTTTCTTCAAATTGTCTGTTGAGCCCAAGTCTCCATCAATAAACAAATGTTTACTATAAACAAACAAAGACCAAGATCTGAACATGAGAAGTTTGTTTTATCTGATAAAAGAAAATAAAAAGACTAAACTTTATTTACTCACTACGATATTATTGATAAAGAAATGATTTTTATATGAGACACTGATGCTTTAAATTATGTCCAACTACTGTTAGTGTCAAAATGTTTAGACCTGGTCTAGTCCTGGTCTAGTCCTGGTCTAGACCTGGTCTAGACCTGGTCTAGACCTGGTTTAGACCTGGTTTAGACCTGGTTTAGACCTGGTTTAGACCTGGTTTAGACCTGGTTTAGTTCTCTGTATAATCCATTTATTTGAACAAAGTAACTGTAATCCAATTCCCACTCACTGAAACAGTAACTGTAACTGAATACAGTTACTCATCATTTGTACTCTGATTACTCCATGTTCTTCTTCTTCTCTGGGGTTAGGTCTCGGAGCATCAGTCTGAACAGAGACTCCCAGACTTCCTTCACCCCAGACACTTCCTCCAGCTCCTCCAGTGGGACCTGAGGTGTTCCCAGTCCAGTCCAGAGACATCGTCCCTCCAGTGTGTCCTGGGTCTTCTCCTCCTCCCGGTGGGACATGAACACCTCCTGAGGGACACGTCCAGGAGACGTCAGAACAGACGTCCTCCCCTCAGACGCTCCTCTCCACGTGGAGGAGCAGCGGCTCTACTCCGAGCTCCTCACCCTATCTCTAAGAGAGCGCCCAGACACCCTGCGGAGGAAACTCATCTCGAGCGCTTGTATCCACGATCTCGTCCTTTCAGTCATTACCCAGAGCTCATGACCAGAGGTGAGAGTATAATTTGTACTCTGATTACAGAACCAGGACTAAACCAGGACTAAACCAGGACTAAACCAGGACTAAACCAGGATTTAGCCATGACTGAACCAACATGTCCATGTGGACGTTTCTGCAGACGCTGCAGGTTCAGGACACTGGACAGTTCTACTGGAGAGTTCTACTGGAGAGTTCTACTGGAGAGTTCTACTGGACAGTTCTACTGGACAGTTCTACTGGACAGTTCTACTGGAGAGTTCTACTGGAGAGTTCTACTGGAGAGTTCTACTGGACAGTTCTACTGGACAGTTCTACTGGACAGTTCTACTGGACAGTTCTACTGGACAGTTCTACTGATGTTCTCAGTGGAATGAGGAGCTCCACAGCTCAGGGTCACAGGCTCCTGAAGGACCTGGTCTCAGAGTTTAACCTGGAGAAGAACAGGAGCAGATCTACAAACCAGATTCCAGAATTTAACCTTTTAAAACCTCAGAGTTTCTGCATGAACCAGTGACTCTTGTGGTTTTTATTTTTCCTTCTGATCTGTAAAGAAAAACTCAAGTGTTTCCTCAGACTTCAGGCAGAGACGTCTGAGGAAACACCAAAGTGTTTTATCATGTAGAACGTCCAGGTGTTTGTCTGAGGAGCTTTTCTGTTTGGCACCAATAAAATGCTGCATGACACTAAAATAAATCAAATAAACTAAATGAAAAGTGTGTTTCTGTTTGTTCTGTGGAGCTGCTGTGGTTTCTTCTTCCACTGTGAGTCTAACGGGACAAACTCAAACGTTCAACATTTATGGATCAAATGTAAAAGTCCAGTTGGTTTTCTTCTGTTCATGAACTTGTGTACACACTGCTCACTAAAGACTGTGTCGCTCATCATGATCTTCATCAGCAGCATGAACATCATCATCACGAACATTCATCATCATCACGAACATTCATCATCATCACGAACATTCATCATCATCACGATTCATCATCATCACGAACATTCATCATCATCATGACATCATCATCATCATCATCATCATGAACATTCATCATCATGAACATTCATCATCATCATCATCACGAATCATCATCATCACGAACATTCATCATCACGAACATTCATCATCACGAACATCATCATGAACATTCATCATCACGAACATCATCATCACGAACATTCATCATCACGAACCATCATCATCATCACGAACATCATCATCATCACGAACATCATCATCATCATCATCACGATTCATCATCATCATCATCATGAACATTCATCATCATTCATCATCACGAAATCATCATCACGAACCTTCATCATCATCACGAACAATCATCATCATCACGAACATCATCATCATCATCACGAACATCATCATCACGAACATTCATCATCATGAACATCATCATCATCATCATCATCATCATCGAACATTCATCATCATCATGACATCATCATCATCATCATGAACATCATCACGAACATCATCATCATCACGAACATCATCATCATCACGATCATCATCATTCATCATGATCATCATCATCATCATCACGATCATCATCATCATCATGAACATTCATCATCACGAAATTCATCATCATTCATCATCATTCATCATCACGAACATCATCATCATCACATGATTCATCATCATCATCATCATCATCATCATCATCATGAACATCATCATCATCACGAACATTCATCATCACGAACATCATCATCACGTCATCACGAACATTCATCATCACGAACATCATCATCATCATCACGAACATCATCATCACATGAACATCATCATCATCACGAACATTCATCATCACGAACATTCATCATCACGAACATTCATCATCATGCATCATCACGAACATTCATCATCACGAACATTCATCATCACGAACATCATCATCATCATCATCATCATCACGAACATTCATCATCATCGAACCATCATCATGAACATTCATCATCATGAACATTCATCATCATGAACATCCATGAGTCCAGTTGCTCTGTCAGGTGGAGACCTGCTGCAAAACCAACAATCTGTGCATCAATGTAAAGAAAACAAAGGAGATGATTGTGGATTTCTGCAGGAAACTTAAAGCCTCTTGTTCTCTGTACATCAGTGGAGATTGTTTCTTGTCTTAAACATCTGGGATCCAGATCCTGAACCTTCTCAACAGTCGTGTTGTTAAAAAGAGACACCGACGCCTCGACTTCCTCACAACAGAAAAGTGTTAAGTGTATTTTTTTTGTTCATAAAGTGTTTTGTGGTTGAATCTTTTTCTGTTGTTGTTTACGTGATCAGCTGAAGCGCGCGAGTTCTAACAGTATAAAAGACACACGTGTGAGCGCGCGCACCCCGCCTCACCGCCTCACCGCCTCACCGCCTCACCGCCTCACCGCCGCCTCACCGCCTCACCGCCGCCTCACCGCCTCACCGCCGCCTCGCCGCCTCACCGCCGCGCGCTCTGGATCTGAAAGGACATAACATGGATTATTAACGGACTGAACCGGTTTGGTTCACGTTTACGGTTCACGTTTAAAGATCAGACCGACGGGACCCAGCTCCACCCGGGGAGATGCTCCACTGCCGCTGCGGCTCTTTGGATTGAAGTTTTGTCTGAAGAGTTTTTGGTGATTCTGGATTAAATAAACACTGAAAGACCAATTAAAACTGTTAATGAACTGAATGAACTTTAGTTTTGACAGTTTCTGTGTAAAAGACCGAATAGAATTAAAATCTGAAACAGTCAAACCTTTGCCTTTGTTTTATTTTATTTATTACAAGTAGATTATTATATATAGTTTTAACAAATAATCAGTTACTCAGATATATACACTGTAAAGAATTTCTCTGTAAAATAACAGTAAAGTTCTGGCAGCAGAGACGCCTGCACTTTGCTGTTATTTTACAGTAATTTGACTTTACAGCTTATTATTGTTTTGGTGAAATACAGGATATATATGTGCTTTTTATTTTAATTTACAATTAAGTACTGGCAGCAGAGACCCTCCAATATACTGTAGTTTTGTAGTTTCCATACTGTTGACCAATTCACAGATCATAACCTACAGGAAAACTAAAATGCAGTATATTTCAGTGATTATTTTAACTTAACATCGTTGGGTTAATAAATGTTTACTGTATAATACAGTGACTCAGCACTTCAGAAGATCTAAAATCTCAAAATTCACTGCAATCAAAATTAAAATTGTTCTGTGGACTACGGCTTAAACCTACGGTTAATAACCAATAAACAATTTACAAAGGATATAAATCACACAAATATTTATTGAAACAGGCATTGTCAATATGAATACTGTTACTGTAAAATACAATAATACAAAAATATAGCCGCAAGCGGCGATGATCGGCCCTCGCTCGAGCCTACGCCACTCCCACGTCACGCCGCACCTCGACCGCGCTGAGCCCTGCACATGCCATGCCCCTGAATGCACCTTACCCCTTGATTTAACTCCTAAATTAAACCTAACCCCTAAACCCACCTGAACTCCTAACTGTAGCCCAGACCTTAGGCCGAACCTTACCCCTAACCTTAACCTAATCTTCACCAAACTGTACTATTTTTCTAAATTTTTGTATGCGCTGATTTTTTTTTAATCCAAGATGGCGGACTTCCGGTTTGGGAGGGGACGTGGTCACAATATACTTTTTTGTTCCTGTTCCTGTGATGCATCTGTGGACCTAATTTGGTTTGAGTAAGTCAAAGTTTTTGTTGGGACGTCCCATTGGTGAGGACAGATTTTTAACCTGTTCCCATGGCAACACGATGGGAGATGGAGTGTGGACTTCATTGACTTTTTTGATCAAGACCATGTCACAAATGTGTGTACCAAGTTTTGTACGTCTATGAAAAAGTACACATCATAACTCCATAAGACTAATACAAACAATATTCATGTGTCATTAAAAAGTATAATATGTAGGATTTTAGGATCGAATGTTTACATATGAACCTGAAAAACTGATCTTATCTTTTCCCCATTTTCATAAAATGTTTTAGGCCGATGTAAAGAAAATAGAAACCTACATATTTTACCTTCTTTACAACTACAGACTTTTAAAGCTAATCTAACTTTTATAACCGCATCATTTTGTTTGTCAATTTTGTTTTCACTGTTGCCCATAAAGTTGGAGTCATATCTACATTTTGTTTTGAAACATCTAGTTCATAACAGTGACTGACACTGAGCAGAATGAAACCTGCTCTAGTGAAATTACTGCTGTGATTAGATCGTTTAAAGCAAAAATAACTGCACCTCTGTAGGCAACAGTATATTTGCTCTGAAATAAAACAGTATAAATGTGAATTTGATGCTTTTGAATCTTTCTCTACGTTTTCTTGTGTTACTTGGGGATTCGTACAAGTCTACGCCATGGAAATCAACAGTGAGTTAAAATGTTGAAGTCTGATAAACATGTGACTGACACAAAGACGTACTGTCTGACGTGTCGTCCTCCTGCTGCCCCTGGTGGTGAACATCTGTATGACGAGGACGGGAAGAAGCTGCCTCCATGTGTCCCTGGGGCCTGGCTCACTCTGACCATCATGACCCGTTACCTTCTCGTGGCCAACATCCTGCTCGTCAACCTGCTCATCGCCGTCTTCAAGTGAGTCCAGTCCTCTTCTTTTACATATGCTAAATAATAAAGAACATAGACACCATCTCTCAGCATCAAGAAACATGTAAATCTTTGTGAAAAGGAATTCAAAAATTCCTTTATTCCAAGATTTCCAACAGCACTTGAAACTTTATTTTGTAACCTAGTGTTGGTAAAAACCTGGTTTAGATGTCCTTTATTACCCGGGAAGTAGGTTTGGCTGACCAACCAAAGGCACACACACATATTTAAATAAAGTTTGGATTTCCTCAGTTATAGTAAAGTTTTTGTTATTTTTTTAGCAAAGATCTGAATGCATCTTGTAAATGTAGGATTTTGTTGACCTCTAGGACAGACCTGCTCATTGTCCAGCTCCTGTGCCACATATAGTCTTTTGGTTGACTCTGACTGGCCCGTTTAAGCTCATTTGGAATTACAAAATAAACATTTTATAATTTTAAATCATGCATGGACTAAAGCTGCAAGCATT